AACTAGTCTAGCCAATCAGTAAGGTCCAGATTCAGTGAAGACTATAGTTCTCAAGAAGTAAGGTGGAGTGTGACTGAGAAGGACACCAGGTGTCAATCTCTAGAATCCACATGTGGGTGAGTACATCTACACACAAGCACATGAACACGCACACACATATGAATATAACACACACAAGTCATTGTCAGACTGGTTCTATAGTCCCAGCACTTAAGAAGTTGGGGCAGGACATTCCTGAGTTTATGGCCAGCCTGGGGCCATATAAGGAGACCCTGTCCCAATTCAAAACAAAACAAAATTTCTTTGTCACGCTTGAGAACTATTGGGCTAAAGAAAGCCAGAACTGACTCTTCACTTCAAGACTTCTCGAGGCCTTCATGTGGTAGCAACTGCCAAAAGGATTCGTTGTCTTAATGAAGATTAAGTGCAGAGACCACATGACCTATCCAAGAGCTAACAAACTGGAAACCATAACCTAGTTGATTTCCACTCCAAACCCCATTCCATGTCCCCAAAGCTTTATCATACCCAATTTTAAAGGAAAAAAGTGTAAGAATGACTTTTCTAAAAATGTACATTGAAAGCCAGGCATGGTAGTGCATGCCTGTAGTCCCAGCACTTGGGAGGCAGAGGCAGGCAGATCTCTGTGAGTTCAAGGCCAGCCTGATCTACATAGTGAGTTCCAGGACAGCTGGGGCTACAGGAGACCCTGTCTCAAAAAAGACAAAATCAAAAAAAAAAAAAAAAAAAAAAAAAAAAAAAAAAAAGTACATTGAAAACATTGGCTCATCCTAGTACCATTCAAGAGAACTGTCATATAACATTTAACACCTCCTCAATGCTCAGCCATAAAGGGGACATTAATATCACACCCCCAAGGCTCAGGGACCATCCAGGAAGAGGAGGAGGAAAAATTTTAAGAGTCAGAGGTTTGGGAGGAACAGAGGAAAAGTGTTCTCTGGACCTGATAGGATATATATACAGCACAAACTGGACTCACTGGGTTATTTAAAAAAGAGGCCATTGCTGGGCGTGGTGGCACACGCCTTTAATCCCAGCACTCGGGAGGCAGAGGCAGGTGGATCTCTGTGAGTTCAAGGCCACCTGGTCTACATAGTGAGTTCTAGAACAGCTGAGGCTACAGGAAGACCTGTCTCAAAAAGACCCACCCCCAAAAAAAAGAGAGGTCATGAAGTTAGGAGGAGATGGGGGTAGACCTGAGAGGAGTTAGGGGAAGTGGGGGGCAAATATATTGCATACACATAAGATTAAAAATATTAAATTTAAAATTACAAATATTTAAAAGCCTCCTCAAGGAAAGCTAAGATATTTATACAAGTACATATTTTGAGTCAGAGGTTTGGGAGGAACAGAGGAAAAGTGTTCTCTGGACCTGATAGGACCGCTGCACTCAAGAACTCACAGCAGCTGCAGTTGCCTCAACAAGATCAAACCAGGGAACATTCTCAAATACGAGGGGAGGAGCTCATGAGCCCCCATCCCTAACTGAGGAACTATGGCCAGTTGATGGTTTCTAGGGGACAGAGAGTCAGTTTTCTTCAAGGGTATAGACCCTGGTAAGTGGACACCACTCCAATGGATGGCCCCACGTGCACGCGTGCGTGCGTGTGCGTGTGTGTATGTATGTATGTATATATATAACAGCCTCTTCTGACCTCCACGGGCATTGCATGACACAGGTGCACTTACCTATATGCAAGCAATACACACATACACATAAAATAAAAATAAATAAAATTTTTTTTAAAACAATTATATATTTTGATGGTATTTGAAAATTCGGTTTTTGGTTGTTTTGTGATTTGGATGGGTGGCTATTTTGGAGACAGGAGCTCATGTAGCCCAGACTGGCCTCAAACTTACATACATAGTATAGGGCTGGCTTTGCCTCCTGTCTCTACCTCCCAAGTGCTGGGATTACAAGCATATGTCACCATGCCTGCTTTGAAAACTTGTAATTCTTACCAAGAATTTCCTCTAGAAAAATCAGAGCTTCAGTTTTTTTCTAATGCATACCTGACTGAAGCTATGTGAGTGACCAGCATGCTACTCTGTTGTAGAGGCTGTCAGAGCACAACAGTATCTGTTTCGCTCACTGCTATCCCAGAAGCTGATACACAGGAGGCATCCTATATGTGCTAGCTAAGAGAATCAATAATAAAGCCTTGCTCTATCATTCGCTAGTTGTAAAATCTTAAGTTAGAATACCTTTAATCGGAGTTTCTTCAGTACAAATGACCAAGTCCCATCTATTTTAAGCATTTTTAAATCATAAATTAATCCTCAAATCACCATTGAAGACACGTCCATAAATAATAAAAAAATGTTCGCAGAAAAATAAAGCTGTGGTCATGCATGGTGGGCCATGCTTATAAACCCAGCACTCAGGAAGCTAAGGTAGGAGGATGGTTGAGTTCAAGAGGCCAGCCTGAGCTACTCAGAAGGACCCTGTCTTTAAAAGTTTTCTGGGTTTTTTTTTTTTTTTTTTTCGGTCTTTTGAGACAGGGTCTCCCTGTAGCCCCAGCTGTCCTGGAACTCACTATGTAGACCAGGCTGGCCTGGGGAGGACTTTAACGTGTGACTTCATTTAACACACCTATTAATCCTGCTGACTGGTCAGTCAGTCAGGTATCAGTACCCACACTTTATAGAAAAGAGAAACCGGGAGCACGATGAAAATCTAGCTTTAAGCTTAAGACTTTGGTATGAAAACCTAAAATTCTTCCATCCTTGTCATTTGATAATGGGGAAAGGGATGCACCCTAACTATGGCAACATAAACTAGCTTTCAACTGCTGATAAACAAAGCTTTAGGGCCTAAAGTCCCAAACACCCATTATTAAAACTCTAATTCTTCAGTGAAGAAAAATGAGCTTACTGCAACAAATTAAGTATCACACTTTGCTACTGGGAAACCAAGGCTGACAACCATTTATAATGCAGGGTGACATATCAAGGAGTGAAGACAATCTAAATTATGAACCAAAATCTTTACATAAGACAATTTTAGTTCAAATCATAGATCCTCACAGTTAAATAGCTGAACAGAAAGAGCACCTCATACCATGATTGCACTACATTTAAAGAGCCCTACTTCTGAAAACTCTGGTAGTGGCAGAGATAATTACCTCCTTTAGGTCTTGTTACATAATATCACACTTGAAAATGTATTACTGCAAATGCAACTTCCCTAAACACAAGTAATGAAGGAACTCAACTCAGCTCAAATCCTGTAATAAAATAAACAAATGGCATTTACATCACACCCTTCCCCTCCAAGAAATACAACTGAGCTATCAGAAGCATCCCAGGTTATGGGATTTAGGTTTCTCCAACTCTAATCAATCCACTGGTTCACATATTTAACTCTTATGAACCTGTCGTAAATACATATTCTCGTGTCAGTTGCAACTGTTCCTTCACAGCTACAGCACAATCTCTTTTCTGTGTAAAGTTTACTGTAACAAAATAAACATGCCTATTAAGTCTCTCCAGTACCTAATACATTATTAAGTTCTCAGTCACTGTTTACAGGGGGAACAGGACATTTTAGGAAATGCCTTTTGGGGGGGGGGGGGGTGTTTATTTTTTAAAGTCAGATAGTTGCTCCTCTTATCTAAAATACAGACAGAAATGACACACCTGTCCCATTTATCTCTTAAGATCATTAGTTACTATCATGCTCTGCAAACTTTCTTACTTTTAAAGGACTTAGTTTGGCTTTTTAATTAATGACTAGGAATTTCCAGAGCAGTCCCATTAAACTGAAAGAAACTGGCAGGAACACAAGTGAAATGAACAGAACCGGAACTACACATGTAGGGCTTGAATTTCTCTGCAGGTAAAACTCTCAAGAGCATCAACTTCATCTCCACTCTAACACCCCTCAACTGGAGATCTGTTCACAAGCTTTCCTTCTGGTTAGTCCAAAACGTCTGCAAACTGTCACACAACAAAAGTCAGACTGTGTGTGTGTGTCAGCTTCGCAGTCCAATTCCAAACAGCACAGGGCCACTGAATTTAAACGCTTCCCACAGCAAATTATCCAAGGAAGTCTCTGTTATTTACCAAAGTGCCAAGCAGTCCCCAGGGGTGCCCAGCAAATGATCATTTAGTTCCCAGGATAGTCTCTTCGCCACACAAGGATGACTTCAGTACTTAGTGCCAACTGTACACTTGCACACTCCGAAAATAGGGGGGTGAGTTCTGAATACCAGGGGTTACGAGGGCAACGTTTGTGTTTTATTCTGAACTCCGAAGATTCCCAATGCTGAAAAGCTCGACCTATAACCCCGAAGTCAACTTCCAACAGTGCTCTCAACCCAGGATCACTCTATCTCAAACGAAGCCAATTATTAGTTGTAACAAGGCCTGGGGGGTGGGGTGGGGGTGGGGAGCAATGGTAAGGTTCAAAAAAACAAAAAAAAAGTTCACCTAAAAGCCACAAGAAAAGGGGGGGGGCCTCCTGGGAGGGAGTCAGTCAGCATCAATGTTAAAGCCAAACTCGGTACAAAGACCCTTTCTCCCTACTGAATCCGGGCAGAGTCAAGTCATTCCAATGGAGTGGGGTACCAGCGGGTCCCGGAAGAAGAGCAGCGGGGATGGAGGTTGAAATTTGTCTGGAAGGCGTGTTCAAGGCAGGAGTGTGCGGGGCGGGGATGTGTATGGTAGCCAGGCACGAGTGTGTCGGGCCAGGGCAGGGGTGTGCACAGTGGCCAGGCAGGGTGTGCGGGGCCGGGGTGAAAGGTGTGCGGGCCGGGGTGCATGGGGTACCTGGCCCGGGTGCACGGTGTCCCGGCAAGCTGGAGTACACAGTGTGACGGGCCGGGCCGCCGGGTATGCAAGGTGGCCGGGCGGGGCGCGCCGTCCCCACTCGCGGGCCCTCTCTCCCGCGGCGTCCCGGCCAGCAGGCCTCTCTCTCCCCACGACTCTTCCCCTCCCCCCGCCAACCCCCGCAACTTTGCGCGCCGCCGCCTCACCTCTCAGTAGCACGCAGAAGCTGCAGGCCAGGAGGCTCCTCAGCACGGCCCCCATCTTCCCCCGCGCGCCTTCGCGTCTCTCACCGGCGACTGGCGGCCAGGGGACGCGGACGCGGACGCGAGGAGCCGGGGCGGCCGCCGCAGCGGCGGGTCTGCTCGCTCATGCTTTCCCCGGCCGAGAGAAGAAAGAAAGGGGGGCACGTCAGGGCTCTAGCGCGCCGCTCCAGCCCGGCCTCGCGCGTCGCCAGCGTCTGCTCCCATCCCGCCGCCTCCTCCGCGGCGCCCCACGTCCCCCGCGCGGCGCCTCATTCAGCCTCTTCCTCCGGCGCAGAGGCGCAGGGATCCCCGGACCTCGGAACGCGCCGCCGTGTCCTTGCGCGCCGCCGCCCCCCTCCTCAGCGCCTTCCCCCCCACCACCCCCCACACACACCGAACCCTGCGGCCTGCGCGCGCGCCAACTCCCCGCGAGCCCTCGCGAGACCCCGCGGGGTGGGCCGCGCGAGTCCCGGTCGGCGGCGGGCCAAAGGCCTTACCGGGGCGCATTCCAATGGGACTCTTTCCTTAGGCCGCGGAGGGCGTGAGGCGACGTCGGGAAACATTGGAGACGGCGTGGTCGGGACTACTTTCTGCGGCTCGGCCCTTCACCGCCCGCGCAGCTCTTTGTGCGGCTGGACGCCGAGCCAGGTGGAGCTCCGGCCGCGCGCGCTACCTGAGTCTCCCCGGGGCCGCCCAGGCAGGAACGTAGGAGGCGGGGTGTCCCGCCGGGCGCAGCTTCTCTTAAGGAAAGGCGAAATGCCTATTGCACTCGCTTGAAGAGGTGGACCAGGTGAGAGATGTGCAGAAGCCCAAGTCGAAACAGACTGATTGATAGTGGCTTGAACTAGAGATCATCCTATGAAGCGAAATGTGCCAGACTCAAGAGAAAGCATGTTTTCTGTCATATGTGGAGCCTGATTTACATAGATTTGTAAAGTCATATGTGCAAAATAAGCCAGGCTCATAAAAATGTACAAAGTCCTATATTTTGTACATGTATATGCAAAATAAGCCAGACTCGATTGTTAAAAAGCACGTTTTCTGTCATATGTGGAACCTGATTTACATAGATACAGAAAGTCCCATATTGCCAAATAAACCAGACTCAGACAAATATGCAAAGTCCTAGATTTTACACATACATATGCAAAATAAGCCAGACTCAATTTCTAATAAGTTGTTTTCTGCCAGTGGAGCCTGACTTTACATAGATACGTAAAGTCCTATATTGCCAAATGAGTTAGGCTCAGACAAATATAATAAGTCCTAGATTTTACACGTGTATGTGCAAAATAAGCCAGATTCAGACAAGTATTGCGTGTTTTCTCTCGTGTGGATTCTAGATTATATAGGTATGAGCATACCTCTATACGATCAGACACATATATGTTATATATATGAGAAGTAAAAGACTATCTGGAACAGCTAGTGGGAGGGGGAGAAAGGAAAGATCATAGAGGGTGAATAGAATCGAAGGAAAGGACAAACGAATAAAAAAGGCTTTTACCCATCACTATGTGCAATGACTATAGGCCAAGAAAATTTTTTAAGATTTATTTTTAATTATTTTTATTTATGTGTATGAGCGGTTTGTCTGCATGCAAGTGCACCCCTGTCATGCAGTGCTCACGGAGGCCAGAAAAGGGTGTCAGATCCCCCAGAATTAGAGTTAAGGACAGTTGTTAATCACCTTGTGGGTGCTGGGAACTGAACCCCTGTCTTCTGCAAGAGCAGCCAGTGCTCTTAATGGCTGAGCCATTTCTTCAGCCCCAAAGGTCTTTTTTAAATTATGTATATTTGTGTATATGTGAATCTCTATGCGGGTAGGGGCACATGTGAGTACAGGAGCCCAAGGAGTCCAGAAGAGGGCCTCAGACCCCCCCACACCCCCAGCTGGAGTTAAAAGTGTTTGTGAGCCTCCTGATATGGGTGCTGGGAACCAAACCTAGGTCCTCTGCAAAAGCAGTACTTTTAACCACTGAACCATCTCTCCAGCCCCAAGAACATTTTGTAAAGAAAATTTTCAGGATTTTTTTTTTTTTGCCTTCCCAGAAATATATAATTTCGGCAGCATTAAGCCTGACCAGGACTTAAGAGTTCTAAACTGGCAGATAAAACTCCTAGACAAAGGCATGAGTACCTAACAGCTATAGGACAAGGTTGTACTGTGGGTTTTATAAGTTGCATTGAGTAGTGAGTGTTTGGCATGCTTTGAGATCAGTTCTCTGCTTGAAAAAGAAAGGAGCCCTCTGAACAACCTATGCCCCTCTCTGTGCACTGGGCATTCCAGAATAATGACCCCTATTTCCCACTGCAGTCACCTGGCTGGCTTCAGTCTAGGCTGAGGTGCTCCAAGAGTTAACCATAAAGGAGCCATAAGATGTGCTCTGCCTAGTTGTCAGGCACCCTTACCTGCAGGCAAATTGGCAAGGATCTTAAACTATTACTATAGTGTTACTGGAGTTTCAGGGACACTGGGTTCACCTGGTTCTTGCATACACATTATCAGATTGGACACTCAGAACTACCCTGGGGTAAGACAGTCTTCTTGTGCTCTCCTTTGCACGAAGGAGGAGGAATATGAGAATCTGAGACATCCCGGACTTATCGAAGGCCTACTTGAACCCTGAATAGCAGGACCTGAACCAATTTGAAGGAGTGTATACTGTTGGAAAATGTTTGCAGTAGGCTGTTGAGATAGTTCAGTGGGTTGAGGCACTTGCCACCGAGCCTGATAGCCTGAGTTCAATTCCTGGACTCCACGTGGTAGAAGGAGAGAACCTACTCCTGCAGATAGTCCTCTGACTCCACACACATGCCATGGAACACACAAAAAAAATACGTGATTTTTTTGGGGAAAAAAAAATGTTTACATGTAGTGAAGCTTAAAAACGGTGAGAGGGGCTGGAGAGATGGCTCAGCAGTTAAGAACACTGTTCTTGCAGAAGACCTGGGTTCGAATCCCAGCGCCCACATGGCAACTAACAGCTGTCCGTAACTCCAGTTCCAGGGGATCCGACAGCCACTTCTGTCTTCCTCAGGCATTGCAAAACATGGATGCACTTACCTACACGCAGGCAATACACGCATACACATAAAATAAATAAATTTTAAAAAATGGTGAGGGGGGTGTCTAGCTCAGTGGTAGACCCCTGCACAAAGCCCTAGGCTCAATCTCTTGCACTGAGTGAGGGAGAAAGTGAAAACAGATGTACATTTTAATTACAAATACATAAAATATAACTAGTATATGTGTATGCATGTGTGTACACATACCTATCACATATTTGAGCAAAGACCAGAAATAATGGCATAAATTAGGAGAGAGATGCACTGTTCTTCCATTTCCTTTAACAAAGTATATACTTACTGCAAATTTTCTAAATATACTTAAGTGAAATCTATAGTGTGAGCCCTAACAAGGATGCTCGTCTTACTCTATAACTGATTTGTTTCTAGATCATTTAAGTACATATTAATGATGATTAACCTGAACATAGGTTCCTCAGGGTATGTGCTGGTGATTTAACAAGGAGAATAATCATAGACCTTATACTCATAGACCTAATTTGGAAACAAATAAGTTAAAATGTTAAATTTGCCTAATGTAAGAATCGCCTAAGTCTACCTAGACAATTCAAAGAACAGGAAAATAACTCTACCACCCTGGCTTGAAATGTCACTTAAGTCTACTCAGCCAACTAGCCTGACAAGGAATTCCAAGTAGAAGGAGAGCAGGTGCAAAAGCATTGACTTGTTAGAGAGCTTGGAATGCTGGGGATTTAAAAGTGGATCCATCCAACTAGAGAATGGGGTGCTTTTAGAATGTAAAGAAATAAGACCAGACCATTAAATAGGCTTTGGGTTCATTCATAAAGAATGCCATTTATTTATTTATTTATTTAGGGTTTGGGAGATAGGGTCTCATGTAATCCAAGCTGTCCTCAAACTCATTGCATAGCCAAGAATAACCTTGGGTCCTCCTGCCACTACCTCCCAAATGCTGGTATAACAGGCGTGTGTCACTAAACCAGGTTTAATAAAGAACTTTTTAAGTCATGCTAAGAAGTTTGGTTTACAGCCTGTTGATAAGGAGGACATGGGAATTTTGCATATGGCAGAAAACTCTGGGAAAGGGTCAATCAGAACAGCAACATTGAATGTACGCCCAGCCTGGGCTACATAATAAGACCCTATCTCCAAGCAAACAAAAAGCCATTTCAAAAGGGAAACTGATGTTACACAGTAAAATAGGTCTCTCTTTTTTGGTTCAGTTTTCGTTTTACTCGTGTATGTATGTATCTGGGGAGGGGGCACATGTGTGCTAGTGCTCTAAGAAGGTATTGGACCCCCTGGAGCTGGAGTTAAAAACAGTTATGAGCTGGCTGGTGTGGGTAGTGCGACACAAACTCAGTATTCACTCTTCTCTCTCTCTCTCTCTCTCTCTCTCTCTCTCTCTCTCTCTCTCTTCTTTGTATTTTTGAGACAGGGTCTCCCTGTACCCCCCAGCTGGCCTGGAACTCACTATGTAGACCAGGCTGACCTTGAACTCACAGAGATCCACCTGCCTCTGCCTTCCAAGTGTTGGGACTAAAGGTGTTTGCCACCACGCCTGGCCACAGTTTTCTTGAAGATGACAGACATCTCAAAAGAAAGGTTCTAATTCAGGTAACGCTACAGATCAATTTATAGAGGACTGAGGATCCAGATTCTTGTATGGAGCTGAGACTGTAACTCACTTGCAAAGCATTCATCCAGTATACATAAGGCCCTAAGTACCATCCTCAGTTTTACAAAAATAAATAAATCTAGCTAGAACCATGAAGTCCTCTACAAGCATCCATGTAATTAGAAAAATAAGCTATGGTGAGAGGGTCTGGTATAGAAAAGCAAAGCAAGGGAAGGAGACCAAAAAGAAGCAAGTGGAAAACTGGTTGAAGGTTGTGCCATGAAAGACAGTATGGTCCTAATGGCAGACTCAATGGACTTTGGAGAGAAGTGCTGAAAGGGCCATAAGGGCTTATAACTGCCCAAGGGATCACCGATAGAACTATCCACTACGTATTTATTTAAACAGGGTAGACCTTGATCCTATGTAAACAAGGCTGGTCTCGAACACCTGATTCTCCTGCTTCTACCTTCCAAGTGCTAAGATCACAGACACTTGGCATGTACCACCACTCTTGGCCTGGGTCTATCTACTATGTCAACATTTTAGAGAAAGAATCTGGTAGTAAAATATACACACCTGGGGCTGGAGAGAGGGTTCAGTGGTTAGGAGCACTGGCTGCTCTTGCAGAGGATCCAGACTCGGT